TGTGTCTGAAAATGTAGATATCTGTATGTCTGAACATATAGATATATGTGTGTCTGTATGTCTGAACATGTGTGTGTCTGTGTGTCTGAACATGTAGATGTCTGTGTCTGTTTGTCTGAACATATAAATGTCTGTGTGTCTGAACATGTAGATATATGTGTGTCTGTATGTCTGAACATGTGTGTGTCTGTGTGTCTGAACATTTAGATGTATGTGTGTCTGAACATGTAGATGTCTTGGTCTGTATGTCTGAACATATAGATGTATGTGTGTCTGAACATGTAGATATCTGTGAGTCTGTATGTCTGAACATATAGATGTCTGTTTGTCTGAACATGTAGATATCTGTGTGTCTGTATGTCTGAACATGTGTGTGTCTGAACATGTAGATGTCTGTGTGTGTATGTCTGAACATGTAGATGTATGTGTGTCTGAACATGTAGATGTCTGTGTGTGTATGTCTGAACATGTAGATGTATGTGTGTCTGAACATTTAGATGTCTGTGTGTCTGTATGACTGGTGATGTACTTGTCTGTATGTCTGTATGACTGGTGATGTACTTGTCTCTGTGTCTGTCTCTGTATCTGGCGATATAGTTGTCAATGTCCCAGGATGAAGATAAAAGCCATGAACTCAATCAGTATAAGTGCTTTTTACATAAACCACCAACTGAAAAAGTTGTCTCCATGAAATATAGATATTTGATCATTACACATAACAGTGATGCGTTGTTCAGCAATGGTGGCCCCCTGGGAAGACTGTATAGAATTGGTCCTGTGTATGCTGCCCCTGTAAAAGGCACCAACAGAGTGCTCCAATAGCCATAAGGCTGAACACAGAGTATTATTGATAGGTTATCGTTTGTGTAAAGTGACTCTTCATCTGACTCATGCTTGAAAACCTCGTTGTGGGAATTCTGGAACAGAATACATCAATAGTACCTGAAAACAATCAACAAGTTACAGTGTCTCAGGTTGGTTTTACCATTGTGCTTATGCTGAATTGCTCTCATGCTGTCATCCACTGTTTTTTTTCTAATACAGATTTGAGTTTAAGTACAGTCCGTTTGATTTCATTTTAGACCGATGAATTGCTCACTAACACAAAATCTAATGATTGCAACAAAGCCAAATTTTTGCACAGTCACATGAAATCGACAGAGCAACTGTGATGATTTGTCTCATAATTGTAGACACCCGAATAAAAAAGTTGTTTAACAAACGATCATTATTTTGTTGTCACTTTTCGCTATTTTTTATGAGGGAGGACCACTAGCTGGTAGAGCAGCCAGGTAATCAATCAACAAGTGTGTGTAGTGAAATTTCAATTTCATAGGTGCAACTCGCACACCTGGCTGTTCTACCAGCAAACGGCACTCCCTCATAAGAAATAGCGAAAAGTCACAACAAAATAATGATTGTTTGTTAAACAACTTTTTTATTCGGGGTGTCCAAAATTATGAGACAACTCATCAGAGTTGGTCTGTCGATTTTGTGTGACTGTGAAAAGTTTGATCTTGTTGTATTTATCAGATTTTGTGTTAGTGAGCAATTCATCGATCTCAAATGAAATCAAACGGACTATAGGCATCATTGATACAGCTTACTGAGTCCTGAAACAACATACACCTGATTGGTTGTCTGACATGGGAATCTTACTATGTGGATAGGTTGAATACCGGTACTCAGAATCCAGTCAGCCCTTGATTGGTAGTTTGAAATGGAAATCTAACGTTGGTTGGTTGGTTGGTTGGTTGGTTGTTTAACGCTGCACTCAGCAAAATTCCAGCTATATGGCTAATATGGCTATATAAATAATCGAGTCTGAACCAGACAATCCAGTGATCAACAGCATGAGCATTTATCTACGCAATTGGGATATGATGGCTTATATCAACCAAGTCAGCGAGTCTGACCACCTAATCATGTCAGTCGCCTCTTACGACAAGCATGGGTTACTGAATGCTAATCACAATGTGGATAAGTTGCATACTATGAATCCAGGCAGTCACAGATTGGTTGTCTGACATGAAACTCAACCCCTGTCTGACATGAAACTCAACCCCTGTCTGACATGAAACTCAACCCCAGTCTGACATGAAACTCAACCCCTGTCTGATATGAAACTCAGCCCATGTCTGACATGAAACTCAACCCCAGTCTGACGTGGAGTCGTGGAGAACAGGTCCATTCAGGCAGACATTCTTGTCGTCTTTATGAGGTGATTATCTGTGAACCTACAACTGAAAATGAGGTGGTGGAGTAGCCTAGTGGTTAAAGTACAGCTCATCACACCAAACAGCTGGGTTTGATTCCCTACATGGGTACAAAGCATTAAGCCCATATCTGGTGGTCCCTGCTGTGAAATTGCTGAAATATTGCGAAAAGTGGTGTGAAATCTTACACACTCACTCACCAAAAATACTTGGAAAAAAATCTAAAGGGAAAAAGTAAAGCAGAAATAGGTAAATCTATTTGTTCACCGCGCAACATTTTGTGCTACAAACAGATTCAACTGTCAGACAACAGGTAAACCATATTTGCAATATGTCAGTCTGTATATATAATATTAATATCCCTTCAGGACATAATGTGGTATGTCATGCACTTTGTGTAAAGTGAGTCATGAGTTGATACACTCATCCTATGAAATAATACCCTCATCCTTGTAAGTATCTACTTTTGCTTTTACTGGGTTGAACACCCAGGGCACTTATCTTCTAAATTATCATGTATATTATTTCATATTCTTTTTTAATTCAGTTATTAAGTCACCATTTGTCATGGCAGATTTGGTTTGTAAAGAGGGCTCACTCACTCACTCACTCACTCACTCACTCACTCACTCACTCACTCACTCACTCACTCACTCACTCACTCACTCACTCACTCACTCACTCACTCACTCACTCACTCACTCACTCACTCACTCACTTTTTTAATTACCAACCAAATTGTTTTAAGACAAACAGATGGAGAGACAATAAAGATAGAATATTTTGAATCATTGGCATTTGGAAGATTTTTCAAATGTACGTTTTCAACACATATCATTTAGTGGGAAAAGGTGGGCAAAATTAAATTCATACATCCTGCAATTTCATATTTAGCTTGTAGATTACAAAGCCAATTTTACATGTTCTTTCTTTTTCAGGTATAATTAGATCCAATGTTGTAAATGTCAGGCTATTCTCTTTATCTATAATTTGGTGTATTTGTGTCACCTTCAAGCAGTGGATGTTGTTGACAGATGACAGATGACGTGTCAATTTGTTGTGTCAGCTGACCACTACTAACGTCACCTCTCACTATACACACTCATTGGTTCACACCATTACATCACAACACATTTGTTATGAAGACACTCGTCCTATAGTAATGTACAGATGGCAGAAATATTTCTTCATGTTTATCACACAACTACATGGCTGCACATTTCTTACACACCAAGGGTGGTGGGGTAGCCTAGTGGTTAAAGCGTTCATTCGTCACGCCGAAGTCCTGGGTTTGATTCCCTATATGGATACAATGTGTGAAACCCATTTCTGGTGTCCCCAGACGTGATAGCTCTGGAATATTGCTAAAAAGCGGCGTAAAACTAAACTCACTCACTCACTCTTACCCACCAAATGTCCTGGACCAAACCTTTGAAGGAAATCCGCCAAACACTGACCCATAAAATTACCTGCCAAACGTTCACTCATCTGACAACCAACCAAGTTAAAAAACTTTTAATTAATTTAGATTTTAAATCATGCTGCGTTCTCGACACAGTCGAGCTTGAGTGGACATTTTAGCCCAACAGTAGTCACAACACGGCCACATTTGTCTGTGTACTACACCTCGGGGACCCTCACGCTGGAGACTCCTTGTTCACGGTGTCCCTGGAAGCGCTACTGTAGTCTGTCTAGCACTCTCCAGCCAGCACTGTCTGTAGCCCCTGATCACACTGCATTCACCAATTAACAGAATTAAAATGGATTCACAGGAGCCATTGGTTGGACCCAAGGGAGCTTATCACCTTCCAAGCATGTTCATTATCAGTCAGAAATATTGTTTTCGACTTGAACAGTTTTTGAGTGATGATGCATAAAAAGAGACGGAGATTATCCCGGGTCTTCCATTGATCCTTTAGATAGCTGTCCATTGAAAGCTCCAACTGTGCGGCATTGCGTAACGTTACCGATCCCACCGCTCCTCTCACCATCCATAGGCAGCTGCGCTCGCTGCCACAGTTAGTGAAGCCAGTTGGAGTGTAATAAGCATCACTTGTAGCCCTATGCTGTTAGACAAATTACTGTGGTATAAACCTGTGTTGACTGCATGGAGTGAGGCATGGAATATGTTTATGTTGATTGATAGTCATTTGCTCATTTTTTTTAAGGTTTTCAATAGGTGTTGTCTTAAACTTTAAGACCTCTCAAAGTCTATGTAAGGAAATGAATTTCACGTTGATTTATAAGTATCTGATTTTTTATACTTTCATTGAAAGGACCTTTAAATTTAAGTGTACATTTTGGGAAATAAATAGGTATTGGTGAAATATCAGAAATATAATAATTTCACAATTCACCTTTTATTTAGAATGGACAAAATATCAGAGTTGTTATGTTTATAAATGGTTTGTCGTATTGATGATGTATGTCCGATGACAAATATCATGTCATACAATGCTCTGCTTACATGCTAAAATAGTTTGACAAGGCGTTGACATATATACATCAAGGACATACAGTGATCAACAGTTCCATCTGTACAACACAACACGATTTATCCAATCAAGACTGTATCATCAAAAACAGGTTCATTGACCAATCCCAAATCACAATACATTTTACACTTCTCTATCTACACCTACACATATACCTTTCTCCATGACTTGAGTCAACCATCCTTCATTCACTCGACAAGCCACTAACTTCCTCTCCCCCAACCCTGGTAGGCCTGGCCAGGTATCGGAGCGTGCGATTGGTGGAGAGTAGCCAGACCCCCTGCATGGGAAACATCACCATGCCTTTACCATTCCTCCAGCCATGGACTAAACTTTCATCTGCCTGGCAGATTAGACTCTAGTTATCTGTAGCAGCAGATCCGAGCTGGCTGATTAACTAACAGGACTTTACAAGTTACCATAGTGTCACTGCTGCTGTAGCTCTGTCGGTGCCTGTATCGGCACTCAGTCTGCCAGTGTCTTCGTAGTACAAGGTGTATCGCTCACCACTGGATTAATACTGGAGCTCTGTCACAGGAACATCTGAATTGTGAGTATGCTTCTTCAATATCCCAGCTCAGTATTTTCTAATTTGTGGCAGCATAGTGAAAGAGCTTACATGCTTTATGGATATGTCACTGTATTTTTCACCCTTTAAGCTTGTAGATCACTGTCTTTGAATTGTTTCAAAGTATAATATATCTTTAAATAGGTTTACATTCTTTATGACCAACGAGACACTTGATTGATTAAGTACTTACAAGACAATGAGACCTTTTAAATGTTAAAATCTGAAAAGGGTACAGTTATAAAGTAGAGCTGATGGCCACAACGTGTTGTGGATGAGTCTGTAGTTTCTTTACCTATGAGAAACCCGATCACCCGCCAATTGCCATCACTGATTTATGGGTTTGTTTTGGTCCTACCTTTCTTTGTTCTCTGCATTATTAAAAGAAAAGAATGTATTTTTCAAAAAATGTATCCATAAATCAATCATAGTTCAATATATGGGCTCATATTGCAAATTCTTAAATGTTGATGAAATAATTTCTTCTGCTTGTGCAGAAAGGTGGAAATGTAACAATGTACTTGCCTGAGGTGAAGTCGAGCTAACCGGAATATTTGAAGTCCACAGATCAGATATGTTCATGTCTGATCTATTGTTGAGAATTTCATACTTTGCAATTCTTTTAATTTATTATGAAGTCAATGTAACTATATTTGTAATATCCTCGAAACTACAACTGGAATAATATCCTCCCTCAAATTGATTATTTGTATCAATAATCAGTCTTTAAGTGGAACATGCGACACCTGTCTGACTGTGTAGTAACAAAAACATGGACCGAAGGAGCTAGAAAGTTTGGCGAAATTATAGATGTGAATTATTTACACTTTGGTCTAGATTCTGGGGATCCTCTCCTGCTCCAAGACTGGCCAGCTGGGTCTTGTTTGTGATTCTGACATTAACTTTATTGGTGTGTATGACTGCTCTGGTCTGTGCGTATCAGCCAGATAGCAGTGTTTATATGGAACTTCAAGATGATGTCACTGTCAGGAGTGATGTTTTAGTTTATCTCATGTAATTCAGGTAGGAGATAGGAGATTAATGTTTGTAGAAATTGCTTTCATGCTGTAGCATTGAAGCTTTTTGAATTACTGGTGACAAGGCTTTTGCTTTTTGGGGTTATCTGTGGAAAAAGTGAGTTCTTTCATGCTTGGTAACGAAATACAAAACTTTAGATTTTGTTTGTATTTAAAAATCAAATTAGATCTTTAAATGTCAAATACATAATGATTACTCATATGCTGAAGTTCAGTGATTGAGTAAAATTGTTTAGTTAGCTGATTTAGAAATGAAATCATGTTGAATATTAATGTCAGTGTTGAGAATGAAAATGGAGTGCACACTAATCTATTGACTGGGTAACAATGGTATCACATAGTGAATGGAATGTGTTGTATTATAGCAGGAGTTGTTATCATTATTTCATGAATTCTTACAGTTATTGAAATCTGAGTCATCAAATGTCGTTTGTGTGACTGAGATATTTGACAATAACATGAAATGGGGCATATAGTTGTGATAAAAGTTTATGGTTAAAGTTAAAATGTAAATTAATCCTTTGAAATAATTGCAATCAATGTAAATACCAATTTAAGCATTGAATGTAATGTTTAATGATCAAGATAAATAAATGAGCACCATGTCAAAGATTATGGTATGAGGTGGATTCTCATCTAGTGACAAGTTATGACGTCTGCTCATTCAATTAACATGCATCATCAATACAGTCTCCTCCAACAGGTGATTATAGTGTGTGTTGCTGATATGGGAGGCTGCCGCTGTGCTCACACACGTGTGTGCCACAATGTAGTCGTGATCGCTCCTATCCACACCAACTCTGACACGCCCCCTGGTGGTCATATAACAAAAAAACACAACAGGATGGTTCCAAGTTTGCTGGCACTTTGGCTGGCATGGGCGGACATGTGGTCAAGTCATGTGGCTGCATGTGGACTGATATGAAACCTCTGCCCTTTCGGACATCTTTGTCCATACCACTGGAAATAACTTGTTCCACTCATTCATTCAGATTAGAAATCTTCTCCACTAAATACAAAACAATAGAAATGGCCAGATTCACACAGTAATAGAGATGAGAAAGACAGAATAGATCTTACGCATGATCCAGAGACCATATAATATTATATGGTCTCTGCATGATCAGACCATTGGAAATACCAGATCTCCCCATAAATACAGATGACAAGATCCTTTCCCTCTTTCACAGTGAGTGAGTGACTTTGGTTTTACGCCACTTTAAGCAATATCCAGATGGGTGGCTTCACACTCTTCTTTCACAGACCATTTGGAATAAAAAAATCCACACATGTATAGAAACGAGTAAGGCAGTAGATCTTCAGACCACTGGACTGACTGACTAACTGAGTTTGGTTTTACGCCGCTTTTAGCAATATTCCAGCAACATCACGGCAGGGGACACCAGAAATGGGCTTCACACATTGTACCCATGTGGGGATTCGAACCCGGGTCTTCAGCGTGACGAGCGAACGCTTACACCACTAGGCTACCCCACCACCCCCAGACCATTGGAAATACAACATCAGCCCATTAATGCAGATGACTAGATCTCAGATCTCCATCTACGGGTCACTGAAGTACACAGGCGAATGTTCTCCATAAACAGACCAATTGCCGACCCTTGTACTTTCTATACAGGTAACCACCCCTTCCAAAACAAAGTGTTGTATTAGCAAGCATCCATTGTTTTGCTCACATGACAGAGAAGGTTAATCCTTGAGGAGACATTACGCTATTGTACCTGTCACCTGTTGTAAGTGCAGGTCTCAGTGTTGCCATTAGTACTGTGTTTAATGCTCAGACGTTGTACTTTGGATCAAGGTCAGAAAAGTGTTGCTAACAGAACTAATCAAAGCTTTAAGAGCTCTCCATGAATGGCAGATATACGCCACGTGCTAGTCAGATATGTTCTTGCATCTTTTAAAAAAACAATTATGTTTCTTTCTTTGAGGAATAAAGAAATATTGATCTCTAATTTCTCTGAACCGCTGGAGAATATTTAGTAATATAAAACAGTGCTTTTTTAATCTCAGTGGAAAGGTTTAGGTGCAAACCAGGCATTGAATCAATTACATGTCACTTCTGCTTGGACCTAACAGTCTCAACCGAGTCCCTCATGCCTGTACATAAATGCCTTCTGGAGTTTTTCATCAGTTTCCCTGCTAATTGAACATGAATATGTATGCCCCATTTATGAATGGAAAGTAAATATGGTCATAGAAATGTCATTAAAGAAAAATCCCATTGATGTTTTTTTTTGTATGAAACAGAATGTTTTCCCACACATTTTGACAGTTTTGATGCAGGCATTTGAAGGAAATGAGATGAAAGAGAAGAGCTTCCTACTGACAGATTTTCAATTGTGGTGTTTTAAAATCCTGGCATTGCTTTATAAGATATTTATTGCAATATTCGATAAGAGAAATGTTAGTATTTTACAAAGTTCAAAATGGATGTACTTTGAGTAGATAACACACAGGTCAACCCAGATACAAAGGTGGTACCTTCTGACAATGTACATTCTGACAATGGTGGTACATTCTGACAATGTTGTTTCAGAACAAATGCAAAGAACACTAAGGATTGTAAAGCAATATGAGAATTGAACAAAACTGTTGTAAACCTATCTAATATTGTTGATATGACATACCTTGGAAATTGTTTCTGCAAAATCATTCATCTTTTAAGAACTGTTCTTTTTAGTGAAATATATCAAATTCTACATCTTGAATAGGGATTGTTTTGAAAGGTTATGCTCTATCTGAATCATATCTGATACAGAATATTGCAAGGTGTTGCTTATCATCGTACATGTGGTGCAAAGACATTCTTCTGATAGCTTGGGGTTTGTGTATATCAACCAGTTTTGCTTTTTAATTCATGATTATTTAAACATGTTTTTGATAAGTGTGGCTTTTGAGCTTTGTTTTACAGTGGGTGTGATAATTCTCAGTGTGTCACTCTTCTTGGGAAAACCTGTACGGAATGCGCATGGAAATTTCATGTTGAGAGGGATCGATTTACAACTGATTAAAATTGAGATATCAGTTCATAAGAAACTGTTCATACAGTGGATATGCAGTAATACATATTGACATTCACAAGACGACATCCATCAACAATACCGTACCTGTAGAAAGAGTGAAGTGTTTCCTGTTCATAGTCTACAGAGAAGGGAAAACCCATTGTTGTAAACAATTCTTGGACTTCCTGTAGCGGAAATATGAAGAAACGGTGAATAAATATTGACCATTCAATGCATGGTCATGTGACCACCCACACTTACAGCCATGATTCCTCACCTGAGGAAAGGTCAGCCATGTTTGACTGATGGTGGAGACCAGTGTCCCGCACGTGTTGAGAGGGCAGTAATCGGTACCAGGCCACCACTGTCTGTACCTAGGATTCCAGACATTCGACAGTTACTTGAATTAGACGTTTTGATTTGATGTCGCTTTAGTACATCATGCACAGAGTTCCATCGCCTGTACAAAGACAATGTTTCCAGGTGGTTGTAGTCAAAGTATTCTTGAAGATTGTAATCAATTTTAGATATTTGTGTCTGAAATTCAGAACGAAACAACATCCTTTACAACTTCATGACTTCACACACACACACACACACATGTACACGCACACCATTCATGCCTGTTGTAATTTCTCTTAGCTCATCATTTTCCTTTTTTTGGTATCAAAATCAAAGGTCAAAAATAATTGCCAAGAAATGTCATTGAGGCAACATGGCAAGGGGAGGCAACTCTAGGATTTACATCTGTGGATGACCAGGTTGCCTGCGATAAAATTTGTTGCCCGGTTAGTTATTTGTATTTCAGGGGAACAAAGTTGTGAATCAATATGAAAACTGTTCAAGTTCAACTTTAATTAAGTCCAAAGTGATTTAGTTATTTCTACACACCAAATTGTTTCATTTTTTTGTAGTCCCACTGTCACATGTGACAGTTTACACAGATAAACATTTTCACTAAAGGCATTACTTACAATGCCGAGACCTGGTTTTGCTGATCCCTCTTTTAAGAGGGTTTAAAATCAACTGAGACCATGCAGTGTGCAATCCAAACAAGCACAACTTTCATGATTCTGCTAACTCTGGGATAATTGGCAAGATCCATCTCATGGATACTGATTACCCTAATTACTGAGAGTCAATTTCTAATTTTCACGAAAGCCACTAATGACATCTTAGCCTAGAGTGGAACTGAGCACCAGACCGTAGAGCCGCAACGGCTGTCTCTAACAAGGAAATTAACGCCCATATTTGGTGCTGATGTTTTGTTTCACATGACAGCTGTGTAGTGACTATACATTTGTAATAACTTCGGCATGTGGTTACTCACACCACTAGTTAGCAGTGGTTACAGCATAGTACAGGGTCATGTTTGTTAGGAAAGTCTTTTTATTTTGATTGAGAATGATTAGATGTCACAAACTGTTCAATCTCAAGTAGTCGGCTGATAAACTGCGGCCTTTTAGATGTTCTTTTTCATCATTTTTAAGGCACTTCAAGATCTTCCCATCTATAAAAATAACATGTTTGGTTTTCCGATAAACATATTTCATGATGAGCGTCCCAATGTACACCATTGCCCTAGCAACTGATAGAACACAGCGTGAACAGTTCAACTGAACCCACACTCAAAACTTGGTTTTATCCAAACATTTTTTTTCCCAGCTTTCAATCCCCATATGGACAGCAGCCCAATTTGTAAATGCACAAAAATTGTTAACAAATATCAGCCGGTGGTCCCATGTGACTTGACAGTGTTTGGCCAGTCCATGAATGAACCCCAGATCGGATGGTCAGTTCACACAGACTTCACCCTGAGAAATATGGTTGTCATGTGTCAGGTTTATTTTCTGTCCAACTTGATTTCCTTTCAGGAGCTAGATTTATTTTTGTTTATATCTTTATGTGTTTACTGACATCATCTTAATTGATATCAGCATATTATGGTTTATGGGTTTTACATTAAATATATAAGTGTTATTTTAGTTTCAGTGCTAGGACTGGTTTGACAAAGCTTCTTTTGTTCACCATCTGTTGTCCAAGCCTTAACACAGGCATATATCTGTAGTGCTGTAGACTCTATGTTTCTGGTTGAAAGGTGGGAGAATATATTATAATTTTGATTATAATATAAGTTGGAAAATACAGGATATATATTTTGGACTTTTCTATATCAAAGTGTGTAGAGTTATTTATTCGTGTCTCATTGTTTACCTCATGGAACATATTGTTCTGCTGTTGAACCTATTATAGGCACATTTTGTGTGCAAACACATAAGAAAAGAATTAGTACTTTTTAGATTGAAAGCGTTAGTTTTTACAGGGCTTGCGGAATCCTGACACCATTCTTAAAAATGGTCTCGTCTTGTCTTGTTTGTTCAAGAAAGGCCTGATCTTGTTTATCCAGGCGAGTGAACCTGGTGAGAACTACAACATGGAGTCAACTCATGCGATGACACAGTTCCACAATGAAGCCATCATGTTTACTGACTTCAACTCATGCAATGACACAGTTCCACAATGAATCCATCATGTTTACTGACTTCAACTCATGCGATGACACAGTTCCACAATGAAGCCATCACATTTACTGACTTCAACTCATGCGATGACACAGTTCCACAATGAATCCATCATGTTTACTGACTTCAACTCATGCAATGACACAGTTCCACAATGAAGCCATCACGTTTACTGACTTCAACTCATGCGATGACACAGTTCCACAATGAAGCCATCATGTTTACTGACTTCAAAAGTATAATTTGAATACCCAAATGTTTGATTGCTTTTTGATTTGAAACTTTAATCAAGATAGCCTCATGTATTTCAATGCACACAGTGTTTCCTGATAGAAAATATACTACTCAAAAGAAATGAAGGACCACCTAATTCTTGAATATTTCCATAGTTCATCTATCTTAGCATGACAGAATAACTATATCATCATATAAAAGTTTTGGTGTTTTTAAGTTCCTTTAAGTAGTATATAAATGATTATAACAGTGAGGCAGCATTTCCAACATTAGTGATGTAGAGGATTCAGATCAGTCGGCATTGTCAGTCTTAATTCCGATTCTCCATGAAGAACATCAAATAGAAATTCCCTTTTTAATAATGCTAGTTACAATTGTATTAATGCATGTCAATATCATTTATTCTGCCCATCACTGCACCTAGTCACAGCACAAGATAAACAGATGCTTTCATCTCACTTGCATCGTGATGCCTGTTACGCGCAGTGTGATCAGACCTAATGAATTGAGTTACGACATTAATTTGATACACAATGTTTGTCGTTGCATTCCCAGCTCAAAGATTATGGTAAAGGAATTGTCAGGGGAAATGGAAGCAATCCAAGCGAATCTTGTTGCCCAACAGAGTAAACTGCCGAAAGTGATTCACATGGGAGCCACTATTATGTGAATCGTCTCCTTGTTTACCCTGCAAATATATAGTATAGATTGCTTCTTTTGACTCAAAAAGAGCTGTCCTATTACAAGGGATTATATGTTAACCATTGGCTAATTAAAAAGTTACGAGGATCGCAGCATGCTTCGTATGATTTTATTGCTGTGATGTGTACCTGCTTCCTGTTGGTTGTAAATGTAGCGCTGACTGTTTGGATATTGGCCAGATATCTGCTGACGGTTGTTTTGTAGAATCATTCTTTATTAGCCTTCCGATCATGTGAAGTCCCGTTTTATGGGTATGCCCATGCTATGTTGCCTAAACTGCTACCAATTAATCATGTAATGTTTATAAGGTTACACATGACTAAAACATTTTGTCAATCCTGCTGGGGAATAACAATCCAATTCAAATGTCCAAGGGAGGCTACTCTAATCATATTTGTTGAAAATGTAAATGATGTAATGGTATTATTGATAATATTAGTCATATAATTCATTAACACAGAACTCCCTAAATATACGTTCTCTCATTTATGAATCGCATATGGATTGGTGCAGTGTCCATGTGCTTAAAGGGGCAGTGGGGTAGCCTAGAGGTTAAAGCATCTGCTTGTAATGCTGAAGACCAGGGTTCGATTCCACACATGGATAAAATGTGTGAAGTCCATTTCTAGTGTTTCCTGCGGTGATATTGCTGGAATATTGCTAAAAGCAGCGTAAAACCACACTGACTCACTCACTCATGTGCTTAAAGTTCCAGTTATCATGTCAAATGGGGACAGTGGGATGGCCTAGTGGTTAAAGCTTTCGCTCATGAAGACAAAGGCTGGGTTCAATTCCCCATATGTAAAGCCCATTTTGGTGTCCCCTAGCATGATATTACTTAAATATTGCTGAAAGCAATGGTAAAACCATCTCTCTCTTGCTCGCTCACTTGCTCGCTCACTCACTCCCACTCACTCACTCACTCACTCACTCACTCACTCACTCACTCACATGACTTTATTTTGCTAATGTTTTTGTGGAACCATTCAAGCTAATGTGGATCTGATAACTTAAAATTGACTGGACTGTTTTATTGCTGACCATGTGCTGTGATTATTTTTATTTTTCACTAATATTTTTTCTACCCACCTGAAGATATTTTTTGTAAGAATAAAAAGACTCAAAGTGAGTTATTAAATTTGTCTGACATTAATTATGAGACTAATCGTCACAAATCCCTTTTAATAAAAAGTAATCGTCACCACACAGAGACACACAAAAGAAAGCAGAAGTATTGTCACAAAGAAATGCCAGTCATTGTGTGAGCAGACGGCAGAAGCTGACACTGGCCAGGCCTTAGGGAAGACAAAAAGTTTGGTAGTAACTGAGTCACATTCTTGAAAATGACATGATACTTTTTATGGAAGACACTGAGTGAAAAGAGTTTGTCACCTCCAAACATTTTTTGTTTGGAGTTTGCTAGAATGATGGAGTCAATGTTTTGAAAAGGAATGAATTATATTTTTTTAATAATGTAGATATATTTCATCAGAAAGTAACTGATTATCCCAATTCTGGATTATCCCCTCCTTCAGTTGACTGCAAAAGGTATAAAATAACTGAAATTTTTTTGAAATGATAAAAAAAAATCAGTGTTGACACCAGAAGTCCAGTAAAGCAGACCTACCAAAGAAAACTTTCCCACTGTGCAGAAAAACCCAGAAAAGCCCACATTAATCGTGAAATAGCAACATAAACATAATACCTCGCTACTGAAACAGTAAAAACGGCAACGAAAAACTATGAAACGGCAACATTTTTATATCAGCGCACTTTGACCTCTACTGCGCATGCGCATTACGATCCGCACTTCTTTCCAATTTCCGAGCAACTGTGAATCGCCTCGTGTAGAAAAAGTATTAAATATGTCGAAATAATTGCTGTCAATCATTTCATACGAATGGAAAGTGAACTAAACAAGTGTGCACACAAGTATCATGATGATAAATGCCAACAAAATAACACAACAGAAATACTTAAAAAGGGTATGTAACTTTTGTCCAAGCTGGGAAATGTCAACATGCGGTCGAGACTTCCTCTTATGTGCGCATGCGCAAAATCGAAGTTGCAGGCTCTTCGTTTTTTTATGCAGTTTTAGCGATTTAAAGTTGGTGTTTTTACTGTTTCAGTAGCGAGGTACATGTATTATGTTTATGTTGCTATTTCCACAATTACCCGGTAATGTGGGTTTTTCTGCGTTTTTCTGCACAGTGGCAAAGTTTTCTTTGGTAGGCCTGTAAAGGGTAAGCATTTTCTTCCCTAGCAACGGCATCTGCGTACTGACAAAATTTGCACACAATCTGCACTTTTTTATACCACACAATAGTACTAATACCATGTGTCACAGATTGTAGTGCAGACCATCAAGTGATGGACCAGAAAATAAAAAATCCAAATATTGTTGGAACTTAGCTGGTGCTTCCTCTGCAGCCAGTCCCAGGAAAATGTATTCCTTTGCCTACCCTAATGCCAACATTACAAGATACCAGAGCAAAATGTTGTTCATGCGCAACACCAAAAAATAATACCTGCAAAAACTTGGAGATGTCAAATTTTATAAGTGTAACCAAGCCTACCATGGGGTCGGCTTATAGACGGTCATATATGGTATATGTGACCTGACTAAGCCTTTTTGTCAATTTTTATATATGAAACAAGGACTGTAGATATTGTTGGAAAGACAATCAGCAAAGCCAAAAGATTTTGTAAAGTGCCAGTCATCTAAGCTTGCTACTTGTCTACATTTATAGTAAGATGGAAGCTCCCATATGTGGCAAGCGAAGTCAGGTAACTGCCTTTCTTTAATATGTTCACGCCCGATAATTCAAATTATCGTGACATACATAAGGATGATCGATATGTGACATTTATGTCAGCATTTACATTCACTGAGAAATCTCCTTAAATATATTTTGCTGATCAAATTCCAGATTAAATTCACAGTGGTTTGATGCCCAAAAAAGAACTGACAGATGAAGTCATAATTAGTTCACATGCAGATTGTTTCAAAGATTATGATGCAAGTGTTTGGATGATGTATCTGGATGGAAACTTTATAACAGCCATGTAGATTCCTTGACCATGCTCTTTCATTAGTGATAAGACAACCTCTGGGTATCTCACAGGACAAGAAGTAAATGGGGACTCAACAACCCAGACAGCCATCACTCAATGTCAGACATCTTTTCTTAATAATTAATAAGATTCTGCTAACATACTATCACCCAAAAGTAAGTACACAGAGATTCATTAGAAATCATTGAAAAGTTTTCAATGATCTATTCAGCAAACCTATTTTCAATTATTTGTATTGGAAAGGTGAAATGGTCAGGATAATTCACGCATAGTCAGGTATATTTACCAATGACATGCGACTCTTAGTCTTTGCATATAAGGTGCAAGCATTTTCGACAACTTATAGACAAGGAATCTGCGGTACAAACATACTCTTTTGATGACTTTGTCCTTCACCTTCAAGTCAAGACTGACTTGATATGTCGTGAACATAAGCGAG